TGTTTTCTTTCAAGCTTACAAAGCAGCTATTCTATCAAAGGTTCCAATTGATAAAGTTTAAGCAATCCCTTTAAAAGTTTTACAGACGCCACCATGATTTGGTTGGCCCTTATGGAAAATCTGTGTTACAGATGACTTATCACTGGATTTATTAAATGCATGCACAAAACGACGAGTGCTAGACGTAAAGTAGAAGCATCTTATCCTTGATGAGCAGCACCTGCATTCACTCCCTGTTTATGGTGGGGTTCGTTTTGCCATTTATAAGTTTTCAGTTAATTGTTTGGTTAATGCTGATTGTCTTTTCGTAGTTTTTATAGTAGAGCTATGGTGTTGTCTGTTTTTATACAACACAAGAACAAACTGTAAAAATTGGTTGGAAATGGATTGGCTAATCAGAAGGTGTTGTTGGTTATGCAGACCAACAATGTATCTTCCAACATTATGAATTTTGATTGCCCCTTGGTATCTTCTCTCATGTTATGATGTTTAACTCGTCTTTGAACACATATGTTAATCTATTGTCAAAGAGGGTGGTAAAGGGGGGGGGGGGGGGTGCTTGCACGGAAAAAACGTGAAATAAGACATAATTTCACGTTGAACGTGAAATAATTTCTGTCATGAACGTTGCCCGAAAAATAAAGACTTTGATGTGAACCTTTTGTGACTGAGTCACTGTCCTCTTGTATATATAAACTCTCTGTTTTACTTAATATTCCGGATTAAGTATACACATTTATGATATAAATGGTTTACGGCTTTTAAAAAAGTATATAACGATCTTCTTAACTTTTAAAATGCAAATAAAGGAACAACATCATAGGCCTTTCTGCTTTATCAAAAAACAAAATTCAATCATTTTTTTTTACTTGACGATCCCTGCCTAGTGTTTGAAATTTATTTGAAAAATACCGAGCACGCAAAATAAGCATTTGAAATTCACGATGCACGTAAAATTAAATAAGCAGAACACGTTGAACTAGGCACCTGTCTTGCACGACTGAACGTCAAATAAAAAAGTTAAAACACGTTGAACGTGAAATAAAAAACGGCGATCACGTTGCACGAAAATAACCCTTTACCACCCTCGTCAAATACCAAAATGTTACAAGATACAAAACTTTTCTGCAATTATTATTTGCTTTAAAAATTAATTGTGTTTTGACACTACAAATTGAACACCTTAAATCTTAAATTAAACACCTAACATCTTACTTAACAAGAAATCCTGGACAAGCATAGGTTAGACGTTCCTTGTTATTTCAACCAAAGATGAAAAATTGAACTCGTCACTCTGCTTTAAACCCAAATTAATAAGTGTACCTCCACACACCCTTATACTGCAATGTCTTTTAGATATTCCATGAATCTTCGTTTAAAAACAAAGACATATGTTTCAGTTTTTGGTGGAATCCGAGCTTCTCATCAGTCTTAGTTTTCTATGCAGTGTTTTTGTTGATTTATTTTTGGTTTCGTCGTCTTTTGTTTGTTTTTGTTTTTGTTTTTGTTTTGCCATGGCGTTGCCAGTCTTCAATGTCCACTTAGTTTCTTTTGCCTTTTTTGTTTGTATTAGCAATTAAACAGTGCGTCAGAGAAGATACTTAAACATTTTAAAGATCTATGATTATATCTAAAAAGAATGAAACATTTCACTCTGAACATTTGTATTCCTTAAACTAAAATAAAAGACATATTGAAACAATATTTTCAAATTTGTTTTTTGATAACAAAAAGACAAAAAATGATAAATCATACTTAAATTCAGACGACAGTCCGGTTGTATCGACAAGGTAAGCATCTCCTGCTTTGCATGCATCACGTGACATGCAAATTCACATGTAAAACCAATCGAAATGAGGCGAACAAGGTTAACATCATGACAAAAAGAAAATAACAAAAGACAACTCAAAGACCACATCAACCCACTGAGAAGACTAGGCGATTGATTATTTTTATTCACAACATATTTGTTACGTTTTTTAAAAGTTCATGTTCCTATACATTCAATTATGCTCCACTTCTCGTCGACCTGTTTCTTTATTCGCACGAGTCGGACTTTACAAAAAAAAAGTGAAGCAACATTATCGTTTAAATTCCATTCAGCAATATAAATAATAATCTCTTACTGCCTAATTCAAAATTTGGGACTATGTGAATTATATCTATCCCATTAAACGTGAGATATGAATATCACAGTCAGATATGCATCATATGTTGACTCACTTAAATATAACACTTGAAAAATTAAATGCATCCGAAACGCTTTTTATTTATCTTCAACAGGAACGGTCAAACCCATTTTTAAGCAAAGAATGTAAACGTTCGTGAATACACAAGAAGCTATATGAGGCTGTTGATAACTGAACTATACGATAAACGGATGGATTAAATTTTCATTGAACGTTCCAGGATTATGTAGCAACCTGTCAGCAACACCTTCATATTGAGTGCATATATCCAAGTTTCATTCAATGACTATTTTCTGGTAACAATTTCCTTGTTAGATGGATCCTGTTGACATACAAGGGTTCTACGTATAGTGTTTTTGTTTTGACTGCCTTTTCGTATCTTATTACTTTTTTTACTCATTAACATGTGTACGGTCGCTTTCACCCTTGTTTTGTTTAAAAGGGTTCGTGATGCTTTGGTTTAGTTGTCAGTGTTGTATTTTGTGCTATTCTATTTTTCTATCTCTACTGGTAAAATTCTCGTTTAGCTTTAGTCCTGGAAATCCTTGTTTTAATTTCTAATTTTTAAAGTCTTTATGTTAGAGAATTTACATGTTCCGATGATTTTTGTATTTGCTAATGTCTTATGTTAGAAAAGAGACATTTATCAATCCGCTATTGTTAAGTACTTAGTCAATGGATATGACTCATAACAGTGGTTTAACTAAAGTAACACAATGGGTACCACTACTGAAGCAGGAACTGTTGACCCTTCAAGAGAACATGAGTTCACCTCTGGATTTTTGGTGTTGGTCAATCATACGTTTTCTGTGTAATGTTTTATTGTTGTTATTTGTCTTTTCTCCATTTTTTTATTATGGTCATGGTGCTTTCTGTTTTTATTGTCCCTTGAAATTTTATCTCTCTTTCTCTGTTACATCGTCTCGAATAAGCAAAAAAAAATATCACTGGACGTTATCCAAGCAATATCATATTTTCATATTTGCGGTTTTCACTACTAGTATATTGCAAAAGTTATCTCGAATAACCTGAAAGAAATTCTGATTCTTTTCTTAAGAAAGTTTCCCAAAAATGGACACAGCTGCCTTAACTAACTTATCAATCGTATTAAGGACATTGTCTGTGCTTTAAAATTCAGACGACATCGTGTAAAATACTAGTCATTTTGTTGGCAGATATCTTCATAATTCACAATTTTTGAACGTGTGCTTAGAACGAATGATTGTTTGTGGAAACTCCTATTGTCGTTTTATAGATTATTATCAATAAGCAAAATGCGTACAAAATGTAGCATTTTTGATTTCATCACTAGCATTGAGTAGACGTTGGAAATAACTAGTGATGGAGGATATGCTTACCCTTCCGGTGGACATGCTACGATCATCCTCAGTTTTTTTTTATGTGGGGTTCGTTTTGCTCAGTTTTTAGTTTTCTATGTAGTGTTTAGTGACCTTCTTTGCCTTTTGTATTCTTTCGCTTTTTGCCACGTCATTTTCGTCAATTTATGAGTTTTGAATGTTCTATTGATATCTCCCACCATCTTTTTGGAGAAAAGAAAAAGAGTTTAGCTTGGAGAAATAATGTCAATTGCGTCTTTTAAAATGAAATATTAGACAACAGAATTTTCGAAAATTATCTTGTTTATCTATTTCAATGTCATAAAATGTTCGCATTTTCCAAAAAAAATTTATAGTGTTGCTTGTTACAATGATACTGTTTTTATTTAAAATGACTGAAAACACATGGTCACTTCTGTTACCTAAAACTAATCGTGTCAATGCTAAAACTTGCTATTTTTAATATATGAAATTGTTGAGAACTACAAGTGTTGTTTATAAGATGAATTAAAGACAATTGATGACAAACGCGAGTTAATTGTTAGTTAGGTGTAATTCTGTACATCTCCATGTACTCTCCACCAACAACAAACAATGTTTCGTAATCGTCATTGTCTAAAAAGATATCGCGAGGTTCTGTAATACTGTCGAACTTGTCAAGAATTCTTCTTTGTCTGGTACCGTCTTCAGAGAGGACATGCAATGACCCTTCGTTAGCTCGATTAACAAATAAAGTTAAACCGGATGGCAACACGATTATACTTTCAATCGGTTTACTTTCTTCGTCATCAAAGCAGTACACTTCATCTCCTTGAAGTGTTATGCATTTGATTTCGTTATCTTTTGTAGTAACAACAATCTTTCTTCGATAAACATTCATACCATTTACACCGCAATCTGTATTTATAGCAACGACGGATGTCATTTCCTCTGAACTGTCGGGGCTTGCTGTCGAGGAAAATTTTTTAATGGCATTATCTACCACTATATAAATGTCTTCACGATATTTGCACAATGCTCCCACATAATCATTATTAAAAATCAGCAACTCCGGCTCTTTAATGGCGTCCCTTGCTATCTCTGCTTTGTACAGTTGACTGGATGCACACGAGATACATATTAGATTTTGGTCTTTGTCGTAACAGAAACGGCGAGGTTCCCCACTGAACTCAGTTGTATTTATAACAGTTCCAGTTTTTTTGTCAACTATCTGAAGTTCCTCCGACTCGGTACCAAGAACAATGTTGTCATTTCCTATACAAACTCCGCAGTATAATTCGGAACCATTGATATGATAAGTCTCAACTAATTCCACTCTGACATTCTCATATTCTGGATAAGGTGCACATCCAATATTTTACAGCACTTGTATATATCATCGGCTTGGCCAGCTAAATCGTTTTCCCCAATTTTATTAAATGTACCAATATTTTCTGCTGTTTCCAAGTGCAATTCATGCCAGATTTCTCAAGTGCTCTAAAATTTCATTCTTTATAAATATGAGGTCAAGTAAATGATCATTCCTTATGGCCTAAATTGTTTATTTGACGTACACTTGCTTTGAGTTGCTTCTTCAATGTGTCAACGTGGATAAAATATTGTGTTCTTGTCGCAAACTCTCTAACAACTCTGTCAACACTCATCCAGTGGTCTAAACTTGCAATTAATTGTTCCAGTAAACGTATTCGAATGTTGAAACTAGTATTTTCATCGTCACGAAATAAATGCAACTGTTTAGTAAATGTTTCAAACAAACAGTCTAGATTGGATTTAATCATAGCAAGAAACTCTTTAGCTTCTTCCTCCGTGTTATCGGTCATAGCTTTAAATTTGCTTTTTTGTTGTTCCTTTTCTTTTAAAAGTTTAATTGTTGCGTATTTAATGCTTTCGAGTTTATCATGAAGAGTGATGCAAACGTCGTCAGAACCGGTTGTTTCTTCAATCGATTTAACGTTTTCACAGCACCGGTGGTTTGAAGAGACGCACTGAATACAGCATAGCTGTTCGTGTTTGAAACAAAAAGCTTCGATATTATTCGTTGGGTGTGTATTGCATTGTTCTGAGATTGCATGTAAATCAATTCCAGATGTATTAGATCCCAGGTCTTCAAGAGCAACAACAAGATGTGTAGAGGAAAGCTTCATCCAGCTGTGCATTGTATTACATTTTTCACAGAAAGTTTCATCACATTCTTTGCACCAGAACTTGGCCACGGACTGTTGTTGGTGTCGTTTACAGGCACCACAGTCTTGTTGTTGGTCTTCCTTGTTTCTTGCAATCATAATTGATAGAATAAGATTATTTTGAAGTGCCGCTGACCATTCATCTGTAGTTGCTTTAACATCTTTAGGTTTCACAACTGACTTGCAAACTGGACATGAAAACTGGGTTAGTTTACTATTCTTGTTCCGCCCCATATTTAAAATGTGTTCGTGGATGCATTGCTTACAAAATAAATGAAGAATAGGTAAAATTTTCGGCTGTTTAACTGTTTCTGAACAGATCGGACAACTAAATAAATGTAACTGAACCTCTTTCGGTTTAGATAACGCCATTTTTCTGTCTTTGTTTCTGTTGATTTACTTCCGCTATACTGCGCTTTATTTATAACAGTAATTTGTAAATGAGGCTACCTTAATTGTTTGTATATGTTGGATAAAATTTTGCCAGGTTTTATAAACTCTAACCTTACTTTTTACTGATTAAAACAAATATGAAATTGTTAAACGATCGTTTAAGTATATCTTAAAATTTAGCGAAGCCAATATCACTAATATTATTTATAATCAAGTGTTTAATTTTCACAGGTAAGCGAGCAAACAATGTGTGTTTACATTTTCCACATTATTGACCACGTGTGAAAACAAAATGGCTAGTGACAAATCTATTGCAGATGAACTTGGAAAGATTACTTTGTTTTCCAAAGAGGGCTCTGAGATACTTGCGAATGTCGTTCTACCTAAGGATATCAAAAAATATTCTTTATTGGTTTTCTTAAGAAATCTGGCATGAATTGCATGGTAAGTGTAATTTCTTCACTTTGACTGCATGATAACTTGTTTAAAATTTACCAGACTGAGACCTAACGTATTGAAAATATTTAAATCGGTTTCCCAACCGTTTTCATTTTTTCATATCTCAAAATGCCTACCCTCAAGTTCTTATTGACACTTTCCGTAATGAATTGTGAAAAAACTACCTGTCTTCCTATAAAACATACTAGGTAAACAAATTCAGCAAATAAAAAGGAATTCATGGCTTCCTATATCTATCATATGGCTGTCAAGAAAGAAACTTTTACTACATAAAACCTCTTTTGTACCACCTTACACAACTTCAGCTGTTGATCCAAAGATGGATTATCGCTAGGTTATACGTACTATATATCAAACAAAATCAATTTTATTAGTTTAAAATCCAAACAATAGGATTCACTGTGTCTAATCTACCCAAGCAAAAAATGTTTGGACTCGATGGTATCTAATATCCGGCACGGTGACGGAAAATCAATAGACAGAGAAAAGGTAGTTTTCTGTTTATTTATTTGTTATTGTTATGATATCGGAGAATATATATACATATATAACTGTTTTATATTGTGAGATGTAATTTTTTCTACAACCGTTCTAGATTAACAGAGAAATAAGAAAAAATGCACGTCAAAATGACGAATTGAGTGAATCTTGCCTCGAATTTGTTTAATTTCTCCTTAAATTGTTCACATAGTACGGAAAGAAAGGTACTGAAAGAAAGATATTGACATGGAGATTGCAAAACTAGTCACTTTGAGCACTTCAATCCTTGTATTTCTGCGTATGGAACCAAAGAAATAGGTCATGTCAAAATGGAAGCACCCGGTTTTTATCAATGTTGTTTACTACACAATGACCCGGTTTTGTCTATGTATAGAACCCGGTTTTGTTCATTTTATGAAAAACAACGTTAACACTGGTACCCTGAAACAAAAAAATAAATTAACAAATGGCTGATCATGTGGGTTTTCAAACCAGATACTTCAATGAAGCTTGTGGCCAAGTTTAATTAAATTGTTAAAGAGGAGAAGATTGTTGTTAGTTAATTGGCAAAAACGCAAAGAAATGGTAAAAATCGTAATTAAAGGTCAATAATTCTTACAAGGATATCGACCAAGTTGACTTATTCGTATATATTGTCTTGCTGATCATTTTTTCTATATAACTTTTATATATTTCAAGATAATAGACAGAAATGGAAAAAAAGGAGAAATTTGTCATTCAAGGACATTGACTTCTATAAGAATTCGTGTGAGAGTTTTGATGTGTATGGACAAAAGGTAGAGCTCAACATTATGAACATATCAGCCCCTGTTAAATTTTCTCTATCTATAGCTGTTTTCAAATAATAGACAAAACTTGCATCCCCCTATGTTCTATTTTAAGCCATGTCGGCCATCTTTGTTGACAAGCGGGGGTCATCAAAAACTTTTTAAACTAGATACATGTACCCCAATGATGATGAAAAACAGTTAAACATAAGTTCGTTAGACCTTTTAAAACCGACATAAGATTGTGGATAAGGTTTGTTAAATGTATTGTAGCCCAGTAATTTCAGAGGAGAAGATTATGTAAAAAATGGACGACACACTAAATTCCAAAACATATAAACGAACCAAAATTAAAAAACATACAAGACTAACAAAGGCGAGAGGCTCCTGACTTGGGACAGGCGCAAAAATGTGGCCGGGTTAAACATGTTTTTTGAGATCTCAACCCTCCCCCTATAACTCTAACCAATGTAAAATAAACAAACACACAGCAATACGCACAGTAAAACTCAGTTAATTAAAAGTCCGAGTTGTGAATATTTGAATATATTTACCTATGTTGAAAGACATGCATAATGTCAAATCATAAAAATACAAATGGTTTAGTCTCTAAGAAACTTGTAAGATTTCTGCTACTATTTTTGCCAAATAAGTGCAATTTTGGTACTCGTCGCAATTTGGGAACTGTGACGTTCAATAACAAAACGATAGACAGAAAACAATACAAACATGTAGCATTGAAAAAAAAAATGTAAATATTTATTACAATACTATTTTTCACAACATGCCTCCTCTATAAAGTTATCATTTCAAATATCTTGATTATTTATATTATAATGTTAGTCACGAATCATACACAGTTCATGCATTGACATTATAGTTGTTTCCCTCATTTTACATTTCACTTATACTGTAACGTGTGAAATTTTGAAATGTCTAGATCCAAGTGGTATCATAGGAAAATGATGTTCTGTTTCAAAATATTTTATGTTTTTGTAGTCAGATGAAGATTCAGGCCTTTCGCCAAATCGAGTCAACACTTACTCAGAATGACATCAGGCTTGTCTTCATCAGCAACTCTACATCAGAGCAGACGACAGAATTCTTGCAGATTACAACAGTGTCCGTATGTGGAGATCTATTCTCGGATCCACAACTTCATCTGTATAAATTGTTCAGTTTAAAGAGGGGTCGGTTCAGATCACTTTTTATGCCTATTGTTTCTGGTTTGCGAAAATATGGAATGAAAGGAGTAACTGAAGGTATGAGCAAAACAGAACTTATTAACTCAAGTTTTTGTGAAAAAATCTGAAGTTCCATAATTAAAGGACACATACGAAAAATTACATTTGATGGCGTATATGGAAAATTGCTATCAAATATTTAACTATGTTTGCCTATATCATGTATATTGTTATACTGGGGTGAATGAGCAAGTTTATTCCGATTGCGTCATTAAGCACAGGCACTTGTCTCAGAATTTTTCCCCTATATACCTTAATATAACGTGTTATATTAAGGTATATAGGAAAAAAAATTCTGAGACAAGTACCTGTGTCATTAAGTCTGAACTTGACTACAATAGTTGCTCGAAGTTAAACTTGCGCTACCATGATTTGTTTTTGTTCTTCTTGTATTAATTGTTAATTCATGTTTTATTGTTTCGTTATTCAATGAAATCTGTAACCATGTATGCAAACACAGTTATAGCCTCTACAAATAATGATTATTAATTTATAAGGCGATTGGAATTACAGTGTATGGATATAAGTTTGGACTTTGGACAATAATTTCTGTGGAAAAATGGTTAAAAGTGGAATTCATAGCAAAAATTTGCAAATAACGAATACTTATCCATGCACGTAAAATTAAACATCTGCTAAAATCAAAAAGAAAATATGCTTATCGAGACAATAAGCGTATCTAAAATAATTCCCGTTTGGTAAAGATAATTTTTTAAGAAGCTATCTTTGTTAACCTTGCATCACTTTGTAACAAGTATTTGTAAGTCGTGAAAATTTATTAATGACTTTAAAATACCTACAGGTATTAAACTTGGTTACGAAACCGGACATCTAGCAGGAGATTCCTGGCAACAAGGTGGAACTGTTATCTTAGACACAGAAGCCAACATTAAATATGTGGTAAGTTGTATTTCAAATGTCAGTTTCCATTCATGACTCAATATATAAATAGCAGAGACGTCTCTGCAAATAGGTACCTATGCCAGGTATTCGGATGAAGTACTCAAATATGAAAAGTAGTGGATTTGAATGAGACTATTATCCTTGTTTGTTTTAGTGATGGGCCTGCAGGACTTAAACTCGCGCCGAACCATACTCTATACAATTATAAGCTGACCTGTGCTTGTAGTACGAATAATTCCCTACATGTCTCTTCCGTATTTCAGAAGTAATTTCAGGGGACATTTTTAAAGTTCGAATGTTCGTTCATTAAATTATTTCAATCAAATGTTGATTTTCTAGGACCTGTAGTACAGTCATTGCAGTTGGTACATTGTTTGTGCAATAATACAGTTCTTTCCTCTAAGCTTATATAATCCACTTTGTGACATTTATTTCTAAAAAAAAAATATTTGTATTCCATTTCTTGCAAATATAACTTTTCTGTCCAGCGTTTAAATGTATTCTGGTACAACTATCTTTCGGGAGTTGATATACCAGATTAAACGTATGTGATATAATTTTCATGTTCTATTCGATACCATTTGATTTCGTTCTAGATACATTCCAAACCTGAGATTAATTACTCTTTGACATGTGAATACTTTGCAATATCGATTTAAGAATGGATATTGTGAGTGATTTGAACACAATGGGTTTTTGTCGAGCCTTCGACTTTTGTCGAAAAAAGCGAGACATAGCGATCCTACATTCCGTCGGCGTCATCGTCGTCGTCGGCGGCGTCCACAAATATTCACTCTGTGGTAAAGTTTTTGAAATTTTAATAACTTTCTTAAACTATCCTGGATTTCTACCAAACTTTGACAGAAGCTTGTTTATGATCATAAGATAATATTCAAAAGTAAATTTTGTTAAAAAAAAATTCTATTTTTTCCGTATTTAACTTATAAATGGACTTAGTTTTTCTGCCAAGAAACATTACATTCACTCTGTGGTTAAAGTTTTTGAAATTTTAATAACTTTCTTAAACTATCCTGGATTTCTACCAAACTTGGAAAGAAGCTTGTTTATGATCATAAGATAGTATCCAGAAGTAAATTTTGTAAAAAAAAAAATCCATTTTTTCCGTATTTTACTTATAAATGGACTTAGTTTTTCTGCCAAGAAACATTACATTCACTCTGTGGTTGAAGTTTTTGAAATTTTAATAACTTTCTTAAACTATCCTGGATTTCTACCAAACATGGAAAGAAGCTTGTTTATGATCATAAGATAGTATCCAGAAGTAAATTTTGTAAAAAAAAAATCCATTTTTTCCGTATTTTACTTATAAATGGACTTAGTTTTTCTGCCAGTTAACATTACATTCACTCAGTGGTTAAAGTTTTTAAAATTTTAACAACTTTCTTAAACTATCCTGGATTTGTACCAAACTTGGACAGAAGCTTGTTTATGATTAAAAGCTAGTATCTAGAAGGAAATTTTGTTAAAATTTTGTTTGATTTTTTCCGTATTTTACTTATAAATGGACTTTGTTTTTCTTCCAGTTAACATTACATACAGTCTGCAGTTTAAGTTTTTAAAACATTTATTAGATTCATAAACTATCCTGGATTTTTACCAAACTTGGACAGAAGCTACTAACAATCAAAAGATAGTATAGAGAGGAATATTTTTATTTATTTTTTTCCTCATTTTTGTTGAGCCTGCGATTAACAGCAAAAGTAGGCGAGACACTGGGTTCCGCGGAACCCTTACAAATTTTTTCTTTAAATATTTTTATTCTGGTATTCTAGCTAAACCTTACTTTATGTATTTTTAAGATATGATCTACCTATGTATCAAGTAGTGATCAGTAGTTATCTACAAATAATCTACATATAATTCGTATACAAGTCAACAAGTCTTTTCTCTCTCTAAGGGGGCGTTTATTAAGGACTCAAGAAGCTTCATTGGTAACTTTATATCCAATTCCAATCCCTGGCCTTCTTTACTCATAATATATGAATATAAAGTAGGCTATAACAGATGTGTGTGTTATTTAACATGAAGCTATAGTTTTCATGTAGACAGAGCTTTGTTACATGTGATTAAAAGAAGAGCAGGGTAAAAACCAGTGAAATAGAAATTTAATTTCTGTATTCTTTGATTTTTCTGCCATATTTCTCTATTCTTTATATTTTTTGTTGATTATTCTTTATTCTTTATATTTAAGCACCCCATTATTCTCTATTCTTTATATTTAAGCACCCCATTATTCTCTATTCTTTATCAACATATCTTTATTTTTTTTGGTACATTTTTCTCTATTGTTTATATTTTTTCCCCATTATTCTCTATTTATTCAGTAAACCCCCATCCAGACCCTCATATTTTGCTGAATGATTTTCCTCTAAGTGTTTTTTTGTAGGTTCATGCTTTGTTGTAACATTGACTTTGTTTTGCTTTCAGCATGTTGAAGAGCACCCAGCTGATTGGCCAGACATGGAAAAGGTTCTCCCCTTGATGGGAATTCAAAATACTTCTATAGATTACAAGATGGCTGTTAATGATTGGCTAAAAGCTAGAGAGGAATCTACAAGCAAATCTTAATAACAATAACATAAGATGGCATCAGTGTAAATGAATGAATGCATGTGTTTATACATTTTTTCAAGTTGCAAAATAGCTTATATTTAATAGCAATTATTTTCATAATTTTACATTTATGTCAAATATTTATTAAATTTTGAATTAGTCGATGATTATCTATAGAAAAGATGATAGAATGATGGTTGATCTATAAAGACATGGTCACTAATCAGCCTGATGGTAAATCATCAATTGATAATCAGATATATTGTTATATACCATTCTTTTGTATTAATTTTGTAATATGTAATAAAGATTTTTAAAAATTCCTATTTCCTCATGTCACTATGTATACAAATATTCTATAACAAAACGTTTCATTGTTGACATCAGTTTTGCCCCAGTGGATTTTTTGAAAAAATTATTCATCTACATCACATATTTTCTCTCATGATGACACAGAAAGTTAAAGAAACCTGTTTTTTTCTTGTATGGCAAAAAAATATGTATACATCATTTTGTGATCTCACCTATTACAAAAAATGTTGACTCTATTTTTTTTCTGTTCAATCATTGAGGTTGTCATTATTGGCTTCCTGGGGTTTCTATGGTCAAATAATGATTTTAACAGGATTTCAGGTATCAATATTCTAAAAAAAAAAAAATGGGGAATGTGTCCATGGGACACAGATGATGCCCCCTTTGCATATAATGTTATAAAGGGACAGAACTCAAGAACGGTAAAATTTGTACTTGATCTGAGTTTTGTGGTAATAAGCATTGTGTATAAGTTTCATAACATTTGGTTGAGGCAAACTTTAGTTAGAGAACGGAAACAAAAAATTCAGCAATTTTTCCATTTGTAAAGGGGCATAACTCTAGAACAGCAAACGTGACGTCACCAAAATTCAAACTCAATCTGTGTTTTATGGTAATAAGCATTGTGCATAAGTATCGTTAAATTTGGTTGAGGCAAACTAAAGTTAGAGAACGGAAACAAAAAATTCAGCAATTTTTCCATTTGTAAAGGGTATTACTCTAGAACAGTAAAAGTGACGCCACCCAAATTCAAACTCGATTTGTGTTTAGTGGTAATCAGCATTGCGTTTAAGTTTCATAGTATTTGGTTGAGACAAACTAAAGTTAAAGAACAGAAACCAATTTTGGTACGTAGGGACGTACAGACGGACAAGGGTAAAACCTAATGCTCCCTCCGCTACATCGGGGGCATAAAAAAAATGACTACTTGAAATTCATACAATATGTCATAATATCCTTCAATTTTAGGGCTACAGGATTGGTATACCTGCCTCTGGGTGCAGGATTTTTTACTGCATTGTAGCCAATTGGTGGCCTTGGGCTGTTTTTAGCTCTTTGGTTGGGTTGTTGACTCATTCCCCGTTTCCATTCTCTATTCTATTTCTAATTCAACAAGCATTCTGAGAGTATTGCATGGCAATACATAGTCCCCTACCGTTTAAAAATTAATTGTACTGGAACAATATGCTAACTTGATCTATGACTTGTCATGATGTAAACTATATAACAATCTTCAAGCATGATGACAGAGTGTGGAAAACTGATTATTTAAGAATGTATTCATCTGATGTTTCAGTCACGTTGAAATCTCGTTCTGGAATTGTTTCCAAAACATGAGATACAAGTGGAAAATTACAAAGAATTTTTAAAATATTATAATCAAACATAACTCTGTGAAAAAATTGTGTATTTACAATATGTAGTTTTTGAGTAATAAAATTTTCAAATTTTATTACCAATCAAGTCAGTCTCATTAGCCAAAATGTTGAGAAAATGGGTGAGGGGTACAAGAAATGAATTGACCAGAAACATGTACATCCGATATAATTTTTTTTCTTTTCAAATTTCTTAGATATGTATTTTTTCAATCATTTATAACAAAGAAATTGAAATAATATACTTTATGGAATCTACTGACAGAAGATTTACCAGGCATTGGTTCACTTGTGTTTAATTTTTTTAATTAATTCTTTTAATATGCTTTTTATTTAAAAAAAAAAGAGAAAAATCCCACATTTACAAAATTGACAGCATGGTAAATTTGACACTAAAAAGCAACAAAATTTTACAAAACTTTCTTATATTAACACCTACCTATAGTTTTTTTTTAAGTTAAATCTATTCAGATTGGTCCACTTCATCTTAATTGAAAGTATGAAAAAAAGTTTAATTGTGAAACTGTGATTTTTTTCATGATTGTAGCCCAAAAATGGGTAAAAATTGATGAAAAATGGGAAAATCATCAGAATTCGGAACTTTCAAATGGCCGTAGCAAAAAAAGAAGTGCATATGATTTTTTCTTCGCCAATTATCTTTTTAAAGTCATATAAACCCAAAAATCAAGTAAAGAAAAAAAGTTTAATTCTAGAAATTTTTGGCTCCTCAGAGGTGTACATCCTTCAGTGAATTTTCTAAGTCCAAGGACCATAACTCTGCAAAAAATCATCAGACCAGAACAAAATAAGAACTTGGTCTGTAACTTGTCATGATAAAACTATATACCAATTATCAAATATATATCTTCAAGCATGATGAAAAAAAGTGTGGAAAACGGATTATTTGAGTGAATTTTTTAAGTCCAAGGACCATAACTCTGCACACAATCATCAGACCCAAACAATATTCAAACTTGATCTGTAACTTGTCATGACAAAACAATGTACAAATTATTAAATGAATATCTTCAAGCATGACGAAAAAAAAATGTGTAAACTGAATATTTGAGTGAATTTTATAAGTCCAAGGACCATAACTCTGCACAAAATTATCAGACCAGAACAAAATTCGAACTTGATCTGTAACTTGTCATGATAAAACAATATACCAAATATCAAATCAATATCTTCAAGCACGAAGAAAAAAAGTGTGGAAAACTGATTTGCCGGACTGACAGATGGACAAACAGACAGACAGACAAACAGACGGAGTGCAAATCTAAAGTCCCCTTCGACTTTGTCGGTAGGGGACTAATTACAAAGGTTCTTTCTTCTGATGATCTGAAGGAAAGGTGTTTGAGTAAAACTGGTTTAACCCAACCACATTTTGTGCCTGTACTAGGTCCAGCTATATATCTTGACTGTGTGTTGTTCCTTGTCGTTTGTGTGTCAGTAATTTTTTTCAGAGGTGTCCAGTGTTGGTCTGGTCTGTGTTCCATTCATATTTTTGGCGATTCTTGTTAATGTATTAGATCACTTGATGTTGTGTGCTAAGGTACACTAGAAATTTTTACATGGTACTGGACTTGCATTCAAAAGACAAGTAAGTTATTAAACCAAAGTTTTTTAATGGTAAAGTTGAAGTTATTTCATGGAATGTTTTACCAATTCCAATGATCTGGTTGACCCCTATGAAATATCTGTGTCGCAGATGATGGTGGATATGTTCCATATGATGTAGCCGCAATCTTGAGCTCCTTTTGTCGTTTAGGACTATCACTAATTACATTTAACAAATTTCCTACATAACTGGTTGATTTCCTATACATTAAAGTGCAACCTTTTCCTTTGCTGTAGAGTAATTTCTTAAATCATTGATATTATTTTTGGAGAAATATGAACGAGATCATCTTTGCTAGCCAAGGGTTACGATCCACTTCCCTCCTCTCCACCCTTGGCAGATTAAGCCAACATTTGTGATAACAGTGTTGTGCCATCTATCGGTAGATTAAAGTCACGCCCATTCCGAATACATTATTCTTGGCCAATGGTAGCACTTGAACTCTTCAATTTGGAGGTAAAAACACGGTAGCGTCTAGATTCTACACACTTGGTAAAGCAGGAAACGAAAATATACGTTGACTTTCATACATTTGTGCAAGAAACATACACAGGAACTTCTATTAAATGATTATAAACATTCAAATTGTCACTAAATATAGTCGTGTGTTTAGGGATGTAAAGACTTGTTGCACAATAAGCACGTGCCAATTGTTTACATACACTTTCTACATTTACACGATCATGTTATAGACGCTTTTTGATTGGATGCAGCGAGTTTCAACTGCAACCAATGAAAATCACTACCTTGTGTCTCCGAAATTCTATCTCAATCCGCCAAGGGAGGAGAGGAAGGAAGTGGATCGTAACCCTTGGCTAGCGAAGATGGAACGAAATGGGATGAGGGGTTAACATTTTTGAGAATGCAACTTTCCCAAAAAGATCAGTTTTTCAAACATTTAAAACCTATTTTTTTATGAGTGACTGAAAGGTTGTTATATACACTAGTAAAGTTTATTACGAGGTTTAACATCTATCAATTCAAAAGGAAGTTGTGATACGTCCAGATTTTACTTGCCATCTTTCTTCCCTTTCAGGTTTTCCTCCTAGTCATGATAAATATGTGTAGGTTTAATGTGATGTAATATATCAATTGGGAGCTATTCTATGTCAGACAAAGAGCCACTGGAAAGGGTTTTAAAAACTTCTAGTTATATTTTTGACATAACAAAAACTTTCAATTTATATATTTTATTAACAATAATTTATAATTGTAATTTTATAACAGTGACTGTGTCAAAAATTTAGATTAATAATTTCATTTCCTAATTACAAATTCCAGATGATATTCAAGATAAATGAAATTATTTAAATTAAGTAAAAAAAAACTTTATAATTACAAAAATTAATGTCTGCCCTAATTTAATGTCTGTGTCGCTATAGCTACAAACACAATAAAAAAACTGGCATGTGTATTCTGTCTTCTGTTGGATTTAGTAAACAAATCTTCTTTCAGTAACCATGTGATGAATTTGACGATTTACCTGCAAAATAAAACAACAAATTTACTTAGATTAATTAATTAATTAGAATACTCCAGGATCTTTTTTATGATTTGATAACTCTACTGTCCCTAATCAGCATCATGTAAAATTGTCAGTGATGGAAAAATGAGTTAAGTATACAGAAAATGAATCAGAAATGTGTTATAAAGTGGAATAATGCACTGTTTATCCCTGATATGCTACACTCACAGAACTAATTTTTCTCATAATTAAAGAACCTTATTGAGCGTGCTCACATACCCCATTTCCCCACATTGTCATTGGAGAAATAAAATAAGTGTAAGAAAAAAAAATTGAATCATAATTTCCTGTCAATATGCACATCTACATAGTATGTCCTTATTATCTACACAGTTTCATGAAATTCTGTTGTGTGGTTTGAGAGGAGTTGTGATGACAAAAGGTTGCAGCAGTATATTGGGCAAATAAGTACAAAGGGGCGTAACTCCTAGAAAAAAAATTGAATCGTAATTTCCTGTCGATATGCACATCTACGTAGTATGTCCTTATTAT